TTACCCCACCCCAAACCATCCCATGCACCCCAAAGCCAACCCCATGCACCCCAAACCCAACCCCAAACCATTCCATGCACCGCAAACCCAACCCCATGCACCCCAAACCATTCCATGCACCCCAACCCCGACCCTATGCACACCAAACCTGACCCCAAACCATTCCATGCACCCCAAACCCGACCCTGTGCACCCCAACCCCAAACCAACCACACGCACCCCAAAACTGATCCCATGCACCCCAAACCCGATCCCAAACCAACCCCATGCACCCCAAAACTGACCCCATACACCCCAAACCCGACCCCGTACAACCTAAACCCGACCCCAAACCACTCCATGCACCCCAAAACTGACCCCATGCACCACAAACCAGCCCCATGCACCCCAAACCCGACCCTAAACAATTCCAGGCGCCCCAAAACTGATCGCGTGAACCCCAAACCCGACCCCAAACCATTCCATACACCCCAAACCCAACCCCATGCACCACAAAACTGACCCCATGCACCCCAAACATGACCCCAAACCATTCCATGCACCCCAAACCCAACCCCACACACCACAAAACTGACCCCATGCACCCCAAACATGACCCCAAACCATTCCATGTACCCCAAACCCAGCCCCATGCACGACAAAACTGACCCCAAACCATTCCATGCACCCCAAACCCGACCCCATGCACCCCAAACCCGACCCCAAACCATTTCGTGCACCCCAAACCGGACCCCAAACCCGACCCCAAACCATTCCATGCACCCCAAACCTGACCCCATGTACCCCAAAACTGATCCCATGCACCCAAAACTGCCCCTAAACCAACCCCGTGCACCCCAAACCCAACCCCAAACCATTCCATGCACCCCAAACCCGACCCCATGCACCCCAAACCTGACCCCAAACCATTCCATGCCCCCCAAACCCAACCCGTGCACCCCAAACCCGACCCCAAACCATTCCATGCACCCCAAAACTGATCCCATGCACCCGAAACCCGACCCCAAACCATTCCATGCCCCCCAAACCCGACCCCAAACCATTCCATGCACCCCAAAACTGATCCCATACACCCCAACCTGAGCCCAAACCGACCCCATGCACCCCAAACCTGATCCTGTGCACCCCAAAACTGATCCCATGCACCCGAAACTGCCCCCAAACCAACCCCGTGCCCCCCAAACCCGACCCCGTGCCCCCCAATCGCGCCCCCCGCTCCGTACGAGCCGAGCATGGCGGGGTCGCTGCGCAGCTGCTCCAGCAGCTGGCGGTATTCGGGGTCCCGCAGCAGCGCGCGCGTCCGCGGGTCCCCCTCGAGCCGGCCCAGCAGGTCCGGGGCGCTGAAGGGGTTCAGCAGCTTCCGCTCTGGGGGGGAGAGGGGGCACCCAACAGCGACCGTGACCACAAGGACCCCAAAACCCATCAAACCCCCCCCAAACCCATCATTAACCCATTGACCCCCCAAACCCCATCACTGACCCCAAACCCCATCAATGACCCCCCCATTGACCCCCCAAACCCATCATTGACCCCAAACCCCTCATTGACCCCCCAAACCCCATCACTGATCCCCCAAACCCATCAGTGACCCCCCAAACACATCACTGACCACCCAAACCCCATCACTGATCCCCCAAACCCATCATTGACCCCCCAAACACATCACTGACCCCCCAAACCCCATCATTGACCCCACAAACCCATCAGTGACCCCCCAAACCCCATCATTGACCCCCCAAACCCCATCATTGACCCCCCAAAACCCCATCGACCCCCCCAAACTTCATCATTGACCCCCCCATTGATCCCCCCAAACCCCATCATTGACCCCCCAAACTCCATCATTGACCCCCCCATTGACCCCCCCAAACCCCATCATTGACCCCCCAAACCCATTGACCCCCCAAACCCCATCATTGACCCCCCCAAACCCATCGACTCCCCAAACCCCTCATTGACCCCCCAAACCCCATCATTGACCCCCCCACACCCCTCATTGACCCCCCAAACCCCATCATTGACCCCCCCAAACCCCATCATTGACCCCAAACCCCTCATTGACCCCCCCAAACCCCCCATTGACCCCCCTCATTGACCCCCCAAACCCATCATTGACCCCCCCAAACCCCCTCATTGACCCCCCCAAACCCATCATTGACCTCCCAAACCCCCTCATTGACCCCCAAACCCCATCATTGACCCCCCCATTGACCCCCCAAACCCCCTCATTGACCCCCCTCACCCCCCATTGCCCCCCCCTCACCCGCCAGCCGCGCCTCCACCCCCCGCAGCCCGTCCCGGAGCTGGGCGTTGCCGGGCTCGTGCCGCAGCCCCTCCTCGTAGGCGGCCTTGGCCTCCTCCAGCCGCTGCAGGAACTCCAGCGCCGCGGCCTTGCGCGAGTAACCCTGCGGGCAGGGCACGTGGGGCAGGGTCACGTGGGGCTGCGAGCACCCAGGGGTCATGTGGGTCACGTGGGGCTGCGAGCACCCAGGGGTCATGTGGGTCACGTGGGGCTGCGAGCACCCAGGGGTGACGTGGGTCACATGGGGCTGCGAGCACCCAGGGGTCATGTGGGGCTGCAAGCACCCATGGGTGATGTGGGTCACGTGGGGCTCCGAGCACCCAGGGGTCATGTGGGGCTGCGAGCACCCATGGGTGATGTGGGTCACGTGGGGCTGGGAGCACCCGGGGGGGGATGCAGGTCACGTGGGCCAGGGTCACGTGGGGCTGCGAGCACCCAGGGGTCATGTGGGTCACGTGGGGCTGGGAGCACCCAGGGGGGGATGCAGGTCATGTGGGGCAGAGAGCACCCAGGGGGGATGCGGGTCACATGGGGCTGGGAGCACCCAGGGGGACTGCGGGTCACGTGGGGCTGAGAGCACCCATGGGTGATGTGGGTCATGTGGGGCTGGGAGCACCCATGGGTGATGCGGGTCATGTGGGGCACAAACACAGAGGGGTCAGGGAGCACCCATGGGTGCTGCAGTCACATAGAGCAGGGACACACAGGGGGGGTCAGGAAGCACCCATGGGTGATGCGGGTCATGTGGCGCAAAAACACACAGGGGTCAGGGAGCACCCATGGGTGCTGCTGTCACATAGAGCAGGGACACACAGGGGTCAGGGAGCACCCATGGGTGCTGCTGTCACATAGAGCAGGGACACACAGGGGTCAGGGAGCACCCATGGGTGCTGCGGTCATGTAGAGCAGGGACACACAGGGGTCAGGGAGCACCCATGGGTGCTACTGTCATGTAGGGCAGGGACACACAGGGGTCAGGGAGCACCCATGGGTGCTACTGTCATGTAGAGCAGGGACACACAGGGGTCAGGGAGCACCCATGGGTGCTTGGAGCATAGGCACAGACACACACATAGGAGTTAATGCAGCACCCATGGGTACTGCAGGCCCAGTCGATGCTGGACACACACACACACACACTGGAGGTGATGGAGCACCCATGGGTGCTGCAGCACCCACCTTAGGGCATGGATGCACACATCTATAGAAGGTAATGGAGCACCCATGGGTGCTATGGGTCTCACCTTGGGACATATATACGAAGGTGACAGAGCACCCATGGGTGCTGCAGCTCTCACCTTCAGGCATGGCCACACACACAGGTAGAGGTGATGGAGCACCCATGGGTGCCATGGGGCTCACCTTGGGGCACACACACACATAGGAGGTGATTGAGCACCCATGGGTGCTATGGGGCTCACACAGACACAGGAGGTGACAAGAGCACCCATGGGCGCTGCAGCACTCACCCTGAGGCACATACAAACACATAGGAGATGACTAAGCACCCATGGGTGCTATGGGTCTTACCTTACGGCACACACTCACACAGGAGGTGATGGAGCACCCATGGGTGCTATGGGTCTTACCTTAGGGCACACACACACACACAGAGAAGGTGATGGAGAACCCATGGGTGCTATGGGGCTGACCTTGGGGCACACACTCACACACACAGGAGATGATGGAGCACCCATGGGTGCTATGGGGCTGACCTTGGGGCACACACTCACACACACAGGAGGTGATGGAGCACCCATGGGTGCTATGGGGCTGACCTTGGGGCACACACTCACACACACAGGAGATGATGGAGCACCCATGGGTGCTATGGGTCTTACCTTAGGGCACACACACACACAGAGAAGGTGATGGAGCACCCATGGGTGCTATGGGTCTCACACTGAGGCAGAACACACACACAGAGGAGGTGATTGAGCACCCATGGGTGCTCTGGGGCTCACCTTGGGGCACACACACACACACAAAGGTGATGGAGCACCCATGGGTGCTATGGGTCTCATACACACAGAAGATGACAGAGCACCCATGGGTGCTACAGGTCTCACCTTGGGGCGCACACAGAGGAGGTGATGGAGCACCCATGGGTGCTATGGGTCTCACATTGAGGCACACACACACAGAGGAGGTGATGGAGCACCCAGGGGTGCTACGGATCTCACACTGAGGCACACAGAGAAGGTGACGGAGCACCCATGGGTGCTATGGGGCTCACACAAACACAGAGGAAATGACAGAGCACCCATGGGTGCTATGGGTTTCACCTTAGGGCACACACACACACACAGAGGAGGTAATGCAGCACCCATGGGTGCTCTGGGGCTCACACCCACAGGAGCTGATGCAGCACCCATGGGTGCTATGGGTTCACACACACACAGGAGCTGATGCAGCACCCATGGGTGCTATGGGGCTCACACACAGACAGGAGGTGATGCAGCACCCATGGATGCTCTGGGCTCACACACACAGAGGAGCTGATAGAGCACCCATGGGTGCTCTGGGACTCACACACACAGGAGCTGATGCAGCACCCATGGGTGCTCTGGGCTCACACACACACAGGAGGTGATGGAGCACCCATGGGTGCTCTGGGACTCACACACACAGGAGCTGATGCAGCACCCATGGGTGCTATGGGGCTCACACACACAGGAGCTGATGCAGCACCCATGGGTGCTCTGGGCTCACACACCCCCAGGAACCAATGCAGCACCCATGGGTGCTCTGGGGCTCACACACCCCCAGGAACCGATGCAGCACCCATGGGTGCTCCGGGCTCACCTTGGCCCAGTCCGGGCGCAGCTCCAGGGTGCGGCAGGCATCGGCCAGGGCCCGCCCGTACTCGCCCTGCTTGGCGTAGGCCGCCGAGCGGTTGCTGAACAGGACGTGGTTGGTGGCGTCCAGCGCGATGGCGGCCGAGTAATGGCGCACGGCGGCCGCCACGTCCCCCGCCGCCAGCGCCCGGTTCCCCCGCTCCTTCAGCGCCTGCGCCTGGGCACCGGGACCGGGACGGGGGCACGAGGAGGAGGAGGGAGGTGTGAGGAAGAGGAGGGGCCCCGGGAGGAAGGGGAGGGGCCTGGGAGCAAGGCAAAGGGGCGCGAGGATGAGGACGGGAGGGGAAGGGCACGGGGGGGGGAAGGAGGGGGTCCCAGCGCCCCCCATTTAGACACCCCCCCCCCCCCAAGCCGGGCCCCTCCAGGAGGGCCTCGGAGACCCCGTATCCCCTCAGCCCTGCCCCGGGACCCCGACCCCCCCCCCCCGCACCCCCCCTATGGGATCCCCGCACCCCCCCAACCCCCCCATAGGGACCCCGCACGCCCCCATGGGGACCCCGCGCCCCCCAACCCCCCCATGGGACCCCCGCACCCCCCTCCGGCCCCCACCTCCTCCATGTCGGCCCCGCTCCGCTCCCGCCGCTACCGCGCCGCCTTCTGGAAGCTGCTAGAACCCCGGGGCCCCGCCCACCCGCGCCCCATTGGCTGCCGGCCCCGCCCGCCCGCCCCCGC